CTGACAACCGTTCCAATTAGGCAATAGACAATGGGTTGTATCGTGTTCTTAAATCTACAGTGAATTCTCTAATAGAGCATGCAATTAGCAGCAGCATAAATAGAAACATCCAGGAGAATGTTGTAGGTAGAAATACACACAGAGGCACCTGTCACACAGTATTTTATCTTACTGAGAAAAAGGAAAGGGTCCATGCTAGCAATGGCTCCTTTAGTGCAGTGTTTTGCCACCTTTCTTGACTTGTGTACCCCTTTGGGTATTTTGTCCTACCATGAGTACCCCTCTCAGTCAAAAGTATTAATGATTGTCCAAAAGTGGAACATAAAATAACTGAAATAAAGACTATTTTACTCAATCTTTTAATTTGAGCATTTCATTTTTTTTTATTTTTTTTTATAATTTTATGTTTTCTATCTCAAGTAAAAAGAAAACAACATAAATATGTAGCCTGGAAGTTAGTAATGAATTGAAATAAAAAAATAAAATCATAATATAAACATGTACTTATGAAACTTGAGCTCATTTGAGTAAAATATGAGCTTTCACACATCACAATCAAGCAGTTCCACTGCTTGATTGTGATGTGTGAAAGCTGAACATGAACTCAAGCACATAAGAAAAAATTTTTAAAAACTTAATTTTTCAATTGGGTGCTAACAAAGCAAAAACAGATCCCAGCCCTATTTTATTTTACTACCTAAGAAATAAAACATTTTCATCTAGCCTTTGCAATACACTCACGGACCATTAAGGGTAAGCATACCCCTGGTTGAGAAACACTGCTTTAGTGGGTTAAACAATCAGACATACAAATGTTTTCTACTGTTCTGATACAGGGGAAAAATCACATAAAGCTGAGTCACATCAATAACTTCTTCAGCTGCTTTGTCTGGTGGAGGAGAAACATGTGGTTTCATCTACACTGCAAAAACATTATTAAAATTAGTAAATATTTCTTAAAATACACTTTTTACCTTTAATTTTAGTAGGAAAATAAGATGATCAGCCAATGCAATGAGCATTTTTTCCTTAAAATAAGATTATTAGATATTATGCCCTTGAAATAAGAGACTGCTATTGTTTTTTTCTTAATTTAAATGTAAATCATCTTATTCCATTGGCAATGTGTCTCGCTTACCTCCTCAATTCAAGTTTTGCATTTTTTTTTTGCATTTTTTTTGTAGTGTAACATCTAACAGAGGGCAAAAAGTTAGAGAAAATATTGTCCTGGGTATAACAAGAATTTCACCTCAGCTATGACATAAAAATTGTAATCTTATTTTTATCTAAAGTTATTAATTTCGCATGTTAATAGCTAATGGTAATAGATAACATTTTCTAAATTTAATTCAGTCTTGTACAATTGCCATGAATCTGCACTTAGCAATGTAGAGATTGTTAGATTTATGTCCCTGCAGACAAGATGAAAACCAGAAAACATATAAAAACTTTGGGCATTTTTCTCATATGGCCTTATAGCTACCCAGACTATGTCAGAAAAACCAAACTGAATGACATTGAAGGAAAACCTTTTTTTTTTTTTTTTTAAACCATAATAATCCATGCTAACTAAAATGATTGAAAAGTATTAGTTTGAGTTTTTCACATCCAGTGGTTAATAAAAAACTGATGTTGTAAGGGTTTAGATAAATTTTTTTTTTTTTTTTTTTTAGATCAAATCATACTATATAGAGGAAAATCTTCATCTTCATAAATAGTTTGTGTGTCCTGATTTTAAAAGCTAAAAATTCAAATAAACTGCTGTTTTTTTGAGGTGTATTGAATTTATGTAGATATTAGTACTTGTAAATACTATTGATACAAGTAGGTAAGTAATGACAATTGAAAAGATGTTCGCCCCAGAACTCAAATCTGAAAGAATATTACCTATTACATTATACCTTTTATTTAGAAAGCACGGATGTTTAATTATATGCGTCTATTTGTTAGCAAAAGCTGTAGGAAAGTATAGTTTGTCTTATCTTTGGCTTCACCCTCAGGCACCTAACTGCTTTCGGCCACCTCACAGTGTACATTGGTCATTGCCTGGCCACCCTTATAAAAATTCTCTGGCTTCGCCTGTGCTTATGAAAGGTTGCAGGAAACTACCAATTTTACTGCAGCACCTGAAACGTAAATATAATCAGTACAAATTCCAGTGCAGAGATTTGGCTCTCTTTGTGAGACATTTGGCTGCTGTAGAAAACACATCCAAGTCCTGACTGAAGTCAGTCCTGTGTGGGGGCTTTTCTGAATTTGTTTCCTGTATTTATTTATTTTTTTTAATCATTTTTTATTTTTCTCAGTTAGCCTATACCTAAAAGCTGTCTTTGTTTTTTAGAAAATAAAATGACACAATAAAATGCTTTACTGTGTTTTTTTTTTTTTTTGTTTTTTTTTTTTTTTAAATTACATATATTTCAAAGAAGAGGTCAACCTTTCCACTCTTGCATAACCTTTTTTTTTTTGCAACTGATTTAACTTTTTTTTTTTACTTATCTGAGCAGCTTAACCTTAACACTTTTGAAGATTAGTGGGATTTATTTTTTCCATAGTAGCCTAATACAAAAAAAAAGTGATTTTTCTGTGTGCTCATACTTCGAAAATCAATACTTCATTACCAGATTGTGTGTTTTGGTTTTTGCTGGTCACTTGTTATTAGAGACAACCAATGGCGTAACGACAAAAATAGGCTCGTAAGCAACATTATCTGGGTGGGCCCCATATGAAGCACAACACCCCATCCCCTACCCGCCCTCCGTCGCTAACACATTGTACGTAACGGTTATAGTTTTAAAGGGGAACTTCGTATTTTTTACATTGGTCCCTTGAATTTACGTTATTACATCATGTTCTACTCACCCATATGAGTTTCGTGTCATTTGGAGCTGTTCTGAAGATATTCCATTAGGAGAGAGCTAAGAAAGACACCTTATGTCAAAAATGATTGATGACTTATGACCTTATGTCCTCTATGACCGTATGACCCCCCCCACCCCCCACCCCCTTCC